GGTTGGGGGGAGGGGCGCGGGCCCCAGGGGGCGTCGAATGTGAGAGGCCCGGGACTGACCCTCCAGGGGGCAGGGGGTCCGGGGGGTGGGGGGGGGGGGTTCTTGTCACTGAAACAGTGACAGTTTGCTGAGTGGTGGGCGGAGGGGTGTGATATGGATGCCTGGGATGACAGAGCGCTGGTGCTCATGGGAAATGCTACGCTAACTGATGGCCCACGTGGGCTACAGGGCGGCCATGCTGTGCAGATGGGGCCGAGGGCCACGGGGCCCCCCATTGCCCCGCTACACCCCACCTTACCGCCCATCCTGGGACAGGGTGACATCTGTGCTTCTCACTTTAATTACTTGGTGATTAATAAATATTAGTATAGAACTAATAGCAGACATATGTTCAGGAGTATGAAAACACATGGGATATATTTGTAGGGGGGACTTTTCACTGACTTTCCTGCAAAGACTAAATGTGTCTCTTGAGGACACTCCCACTGTCCCCCCCCCACCCTTCACCAAGGACCCGTGACCTTGCCCCTTATCAGCACCGCTCCCCCCTCGTTTGCGTGACAAATGAATGGTGACAGATGAAATAATTAAAGGATTACAGAGCGAAGCAGCTCTGTGATCTTGTGTTTGTGAAACTCCTGCTCTATAGAGAGGGGAGGAGTGTGGTTTCCACAGAGCTACTGAAGGCATTGGGGGGGGGGGGGTCATGGCTAATTAGATAGATCCAGTTCACAAAGTGATCCTTCAGCCTGTAGTGTTCATCTCATGTCTTTATTCCACCCCTTGAAGGAGGCTGCTTTTGCACCTTGGCCATCCCTTTAAGGAGGCTGCTTTTGCACCTTGGCCATCCCTTTAAGGAGGCTGCTTTTGCACCTTGGCCATCACTTTAAGGAGGCTGCTTTTGCACCTTGGCCATCCCTTTAAGGAGGCTGCTTTTGCACCTTGGCCATCACTTTAAGGAGGCTGCTTTTGCACCTTGGCCATCCCTTTAAGGAGGCTGCTTTTGCACCTTGGCCATCACTTTAAGGAGGCTGCTTTTGCACCTTGGCCATCACTTTAAGGAGGCTGCTTTTGCACCTTGGCCATCCCTTTAAGGAGGCTGCTTTTGCACCTTGGCCTCTTGCTTCCCAATGTCTCCGTGCCACAGAACAGGAATTTTACAACCAGAAACCCAAGGAGACACTTTTGGGTCTCTCCTGTGCTCAGTGATTATGGCATAAGGGCACACAGCAGGCAGGTAGCGGGAGCCCTGTGCATACCCCCAAATCCCAGCTCTGAGGGACATTTTCCATCAGACAGGACATTCCCTGTTTGCAGTTTTCGGGGTCTGTGGGTCTCAACAGGAAGGGCCACAGTTCAGGCCTGGAAAGGGAGGTGGGATTTGCAGGAGTAGCAGAAATCCCATGGAGTGCTCCGGCTCCGGCTCCGTGTGCTATCATATCTGCTCTTTTAGCTTGAATCTTCTGAAGCGCCACCCAGGAAGCACCAGGCAGCGACTCGGGCACTTAGTGGGGAGGGGTCTTTGCCCGTGGCGGTGCCCAGGGCTCACATGCAACCCAACCTTGGCTCCATCTAACTAGCCACCAGGCCCCTCCTTCTGGCCACAGCTCACCCAGTCCGATAAGATCGGCGTCATTCGCTCGTTGACTGTTGACCATCTGTCTCACATTGGCTTAGGGAGAATTCTTCCGTGTAACGGGAGAACGTGGACCACCAAGCATGCCTGTTTGGAGATTAGAACAAAAGTCTGTGTTAATCGGTAAAGCTGATTTAGACATATTTTCAGTGTTGTGGACAAACAGTGAAAAGGAGGGGGTCCTGATCAGCGCTCTGATAGGGCACCCCAGTGTGGCCAACCTGCCCTGCTTCTCTATACACACCCTCAGATATATCAGAAGCTCCTGAGGACAGTCAGGGCTGCTTCTCACCTTAGATGGCTGGCCCTAGGGTAGAACGCAGTGCAGCCAGTGAAGCTTTCTTCACTCAGACGTCTCGCCTCCAGCCTGCCCGATGTTGCTGCACGTCACAGACAGTTTATACAGAAGGTGTCTCACTCATATCCCGCCACACAGCTGGAAATCTGCTCACGGTTCACCTCGAATGCCTTGGTTGGCTTCCTGCCCCCCTTAGGCTTGCGTTGGCCGCATTGCCGCAATGCCACCTGCTGGTCCAGGTACTGGAACAAGTGTTTGGGGAAGGAAGAGCAGAGGGAACAGCTTCCAGGTTGTGCTTCTCTCACACGGCCACTTTCAGCCGCAGGACGCCCGCCCTTCCTCTCTGTTTGTCGGCTATTGTTTACGCCGCTATGGAAACTGCCCATTAAATATCCTTTTAATAGAGTTCACCGAGTTTCCTTCAGAAAATGCAGCGCACCTGGCTCAAGTCGCCCCAGAAAGGCCCGAGGGCCCCGCAAGTCGTTTTTCTGAGGGCTGACTTGAGGGGCGGGGGCCTCGTTAACCGACTGCCTCTCCTAGCGACCGGTCTGAACCGGTCTGACCCCTGATTGCTGAGCTGATTCGTCTTGTCGGCAGATCCCAGATCTTCTGCCTTCTCCATGATGCCTTTCGCTCTTTCTGTGATTTTAAGGTTTAAAATGTAAGTAGCTTGAATTGCATCTATGCCCTTAGTGATCTGGCCCTGTATATATAGTAGAATTAAGCTTGTCATGCATCCCATCCCAACACATCTTACAGCATGATTCACTAAACACCGATGCTACTGTCGCAATGACAACCTCAGCTCCCTGCAAATGGGGACAGTCCCTTCTCTAAGGACCACTCCCAGTTTATTCTCAGAGGATTATCACCGATGTCCACATCGTTCCCCTGAATGACGCTGGCATCTTTCTGTATTAGTCCACCACAGTGGTTTTTTTTTCCTCTAATCTGCTCCCTCATTTTCCAAAGCTGGCTCTGGCGCTGCAGAGAGGAGAAGCAGGATGTAGTGAGTAGGGGAGATGGAAAAGATATTCCATTTAATTGGGGGGGAGGGGGCAATGTGAGCACCACGCCGTGCACTAGCCGCTGAATGTAAATATACCGGCTGCTGTGTCGCCAGGGAACTGGAGCCATCCTATACAGGGGCCGGCTTAAATGTCACAGTAACAGTCATTTGTTCAACACATGTACGCGTCCATCAAAATGATATACCCATAGAGGGGAGGGCGCCGCGCGCTTTGGGCCCGAGGAACGCCGGCATCCCGCCGGAATCTTGCCAGAACGCAGTCAGTAAGAGACGCTGCTCCAAGCACTGAGGCAGGATTTGTAACAGTATCCACACAAGTTGTGGGGGGGGGGGGGGGGTGGGGGGTACCCTTTTGTTTGGGCTCTAACGATGTGGGAAAGTGAAGGGTAGAAAGAAAAACAGAGGCGTCTGTTTCACTGCCTGTGCGGAAAGGAAGAGTGGGAGGGCCTGTTTTTCCTCCCTGGTGTGAGGCGGTCATTCCCTTTCCATCACTGCCCCCTTTATTGTCCCAGATTGAATTCCTTATCGCTTAATAGCCATAGAGCATCCAGGCTCTAACACTTGGAGGGAGGGAATTGGAGCCCCGTGCACGGACCTCGTGCTGGGCAGCCGAGGAGTGCGCCGTAGTGAGACCCAGCCGTGGATGTGAGTGCCGTCATGTCACGTCTTCTTGGTGGTGGTTGTCAGGTGGCTTCTGTCCATTGAATGTGGGCTGGAGGCTCAGAAAGCCTGGCCACAAGTGCGTGTGATTTTCACACTGGCATGGGAATCTGGCCAACATGTGCAGAGTACAAGCCGGATCGTTGACCAACTGTGGCAGCTTGTCCGAGGTCCTGGGGGGAAGGCTGGGGGTTGACTGCGGGCAGCTGGAACTGGATCCGGATGTCTTGTCAACTGTGGGCCGCAAGTCTGCACAATTGAGAGCAGGTGGGGGGAGGAGGTCTTGGGGAGTGACGGGGTGCTTGAGGGTTAGGTTTTGCGTCCATGTGAGCGATCGAGGGGGCAAAGGCTGTCCCCTTGTCATGGTAACCAAGGCTTATTGAGCAGGGCTGCCCAAGGTTCGCCTGTCATTTACCTCAACATGAAACACATGGCCCAGAATTTACTGCCACGCCGTGGAATATGATGACCACCATTATCCTTTTCACAAGCCCTCTCTGGTTTGTGATGTTTTTTTAAAAAAAGAGGAGAGGACTAATGTGAACATTTCATAATTTAAATCTTCCATTTTGAGAGGAATTGTAGTTGCATCCAAAGTACTTAACTGAAATTACATCAGGAAATAATCCTGCTGTAAAAATAGATAATGCTATTGGACAAGCATGTGAACATTACACACTATGTACATGAAGAGGTGCTCAGGCTGCCTTTGCTTTAGGGCGCAGTGAGAAGGGCAGAGCGTTTGCTGTCTCCTGCTGCTTCCTGTATACTGGGTTCCGGGTCCCGTTCTGCCCACCAAGCCATTCGGGTCCAGGAGCCTTGTAGGTTAATGCATCTGATATGTACTGTGGTTTCATAAGGGGGGGGGGATGAATGATGGGAACAGGACTCCCTGACCTTCAGAGTAGCTAATTTGTTAAAGCGAAGAGGAAGTGTCCCATGCAGTGCAGTCGCTTGTGCATCCAGCTTAATTGAAGCATTGCTGTGAATTCATTTCAGAGACTGCAGGGGACGGGGGAGGGGGGGAGGGCGGGGCGTTGCCGGTTCCCGACCAGAGGTGGGGAGACTGGGAATGCTACTTAAGGCAGCCACGTCGCTCGGCTTGGCGGTATATCACGTCTACGGCTCCCTGCGACGGCAACATTCTGGCTGCAATGCGGAGCCCGTAAATGTACTCCAGACTGATCTGATCTGCGTGCAAAGAGAAGTTTCCAGATATTGTGTTTTTAATTTGCCTATTTGTGAGGGTCATCAGGTCAGGGCATGATGTGTCACGCTTTTTTGGTTTGACCCCCCATAAACTTTGCTAGATTCTCCAGCACCGAAAGAGGATTTTAGCAGCTGGATGTCGGAAGCTTTAAATCCGCCGCTCACATCCCCGCAGGTGAAAGTGATGGTGCGCATCTGCCCCTCGACGGGCCCCCTGGATTCCTCAGAGTCCATGTCCTTCCTGAAGGTGGACCCCCGCAAGAAGCAGCTGACCCTTTATGACCCCTCCCTCAACACACACTCCAACTCAGGGCCCCGGCGTGCTGTGGTGGCCGCCCCCAAGATGTTTGCCTTCGATGCAGTCTTCACCCAGGATGCCTCCCAGGTAGGAGCCCCCCCGTTCCCAGTTAACATCCCACACTGGCCTCAGGGATGGGGCGTTGGGTGCCCGTTCCTCAAGGTTTTTTACATTTGTATTTGAGGCCTGAAACTGCGGCTGTAGATTAGGCTTAACGGCGGCTCTCCGCAGCTGACATAACAGAGGCGTGTTGGCGGCGTGGGTGTGGCTGACAGCCGCTTCCCTGCCGGTTTGCGTTCCACGGGCTTTCGGAGACGCATAATGCCTCCCTGCTAATTGCCAGTGCTGACAGTAAGAGTGTTTGGTGGACGCAGGCCTCGCTGAAGGGGACCGGCCAGTGACAAGCAGCTGTCTGGCACCCAGCTGGTGATGAAGCTGCTGATGTGACAGCTTTGGCATTTGAAAACCCCATCACAGAGCAGTGGGGGCAGGGGGGGGGGAACTTCCTTTAGCTCCGCCTTCTCCAACACTGCTCTATGGGGATTCACCAGCAATTGCAGGGTGGGTCGACAGGAGCGTATGAGTGCTTTATCCTACTGTGATGAAGTTCCTGAAGTGTTGAAGGGAAACCTCCCCATCTCATGAGGTGGAGCATGCAAGGTGGTCTGCAGTGGTGTGTCATACGGAGGAGGGTCTTCACCATACACAAAGAATGTATCCCCTGAGCACCTTCTGCTCGCATATCAGACTGTTTTATTTGTTGTTGAATACCGTCTCCCTTTTCTAGCATCCTGTCGGTTAGCGAGTGACGTGTCTCTCCCCCCCCCCCCAGGCGGAGGTATGTTCGGGGACGGTGGCGGAGGTCATCCAGTCAGTGGTGAATGGAGCAGACGGCTGCATCTTCTGCTTCGGCCACGTCAGACTAGGTAACCCAGGACGTGTCCCTGTTGATTGCCGGCTTGCCCCTGCAGGTCGTCAGCTGCCAGCCCCCCCCCAGTTGGCCTGCTGCTTTGGAGTGCACTCAGAGCCCTGCTGTTAATTGACTTGGCGGGCACCGCGTGTCCTGTGAGCCTCGGCCCTGAGGTTGCTTCCTGAGGTTCCACACAAAGACAGACAGGGCTCTTGTGTCGGGGACCATATTGTCTCGCCGCTTTTTCATTGGCTTCACTTGGAGTCCACGGCAGTGGCACGGAGCGCCTGGCCGGGCGACTGCAGGGGGGAAGCAGGGCCAGCGTGTCTGAAAGGGCCGTGTAATTAACCCCCCTGCCCTCCGAATGTTAAGGGCTTCCATTTTCCAGCTCTTTGGCTCCTGAGTATCTCATTGTTCCTCTCCCTGTTCTTGGCAGCTGTGGGGTATCCAGCCTCCAGCTGTGGCTGTCAGAGTCTCTCTCCATGTTAATGAGTAACTGTGTATCCAAAAAAAAAAAAAAAACAAGTCAATGCGGAGGAGAAATAATGAATGTTACTGGGGTGGCATGAATGATGTCACCTTGAATGGATGTGCTCCGCCCCCTCCAACACCTGTTCCGGTCTCATCCAGGCAAGACGTACACCATGATCGGCAAGGACTCCTCCACCCAGAGCCTGGGCATCGTCCCCTGCGCCATCTCCTGGCTTTTCAAGCTGATCAACGAGCGCAAGGAAAAGACGGGCACGCGCTTCTCTGTCCGTGTCTCCGCCGTGGAGATCTCCGGCAAGGACGAGACGCTCAGCGATCTGCTGTCTGAGGTGGCCAGTGGCAGTCTGCAAGACGGCCAGTCGCCGGGGATCTACCTGCGGGAGGACCCCATCTGCGGCACCCAGGTGAGCTGGCGGCCGGGCGTCTATCATCCCACCTGTCTGACCAGCTGTCCTGTGCCAGGTCCTCGATCTTCCCTGTCAGGACCGTCATTCACAGACCCGAATCCCCTTGCCCGCTCATTCCACTGCATGTCAACTCCTGTATATGTCCACGCATGTTACCCACAATATCTGTGTCACACTGGATCTAGCCACACTGCGAATTGCCCTGGGCTTGGGCGGGTTCTGCTTTGACGACCCTGACAGGTGCTTTCGTCAGATGTTGTTTTTTTTCTGCCAAGGACCGGCACTTCAAAGAGAGCCTTGAGTCCTCTGAAGCTCTCCTCTTCCCCTCCTGTAGGACCTCCCACCCCCACATTGCTCTAGAATGGAGCTTTAGCATTCTAGGGATACAGTGCTTCCCGGCACATCCCCCCCCCCCCATTACCTCTCCTAATCCCCTCCCTCAGTGTGCATATCTGCTCCTATGATTGCCCAGGAGATTCAGTCTGATAGGCAAGAAATGTATGCCTAGGTCCAATTAGCTGGCTTCTTTCTCCCACGTTTCCTCCTCCCTAAAATGTAACCCCTTGCTCCCCCCACTCCACTCAGCTCCAGAACCAGAGCGAGCTCCGCGCTCCCACTGCTGAGAAGGCCGCCTTCTTCCTGGATGCAGCCATCGCCGCACGCAGCACCAGCCGGCCTGACTGCGACGAGGAGGACCGCCGCAACTCGCACATGCTCTTCACCTTGCACATCTACCAGTACCGCATGGAGAAGAGCGGGAAAGGAGGAAGTGAGTATCCCAGCCTGTCTGTCCATCAGTCACTTGCTGTGGTCTGCAGTCACTTTTTTTGACCTGAGACGGTGTCCCTCCCCCCACTTCCTGTTACACTTGAACGCCAAGAATGCCGGCAGGCCGATTTCAGATGAACCCAAACGTTGCTGGATGCCGTCCCATTTTGAGCTGACTTCCTCTGCCCTTTCTGCCCTTTGTCCCTTTAACAAATGGCTTCACTTCCCGGGATTTTTTTTATCCCCTTTTCCTTGCCTCTTTGCCGCCTTTGAAAGGACCCCCCCGTGGGAAAGTAAGTCCTTGTAGAATGTGCCAGATTGCATGCGGCCAGCCTCCCGACCTCTGCCAGCTCAGCTCCTCACCGTATCTCGTGACGGTGTGATGGCCTCACTCTCATTTATTTGCTTGGACATCGTTGTCGGGTGGGCGAAGGGATTAATCCGGCTCAGATTGCGCTTCCCACACTGCCGAATAAAAGCTGCATTAATGAGCATTGCCTGAACTGATTACTAAAACCTTAACAAGAATATTAATGAGCAGGGAAATTTTCGTTTGATCAGCACAAGTGACGTTGAGGGCTCCCTTACGTGAGGCCTGTTGTTCATGCTTCACTGTGGCAGCAGCTGTGCAGAGCGGATGCCTCCTAACGTGCAAATAAATCAGAGCAGGTAATGAGGTATGACATACCTTCTCAGGAATGTTTATGTCCCAGTGCTACTGTCAAAGGTGTGAGGCTAGTTTTTATTGCAGTGCTGAGTCTGGATTCTGGACACCAACTCTGCTGTTTCTGCTGACGTCCGGAGGCCACTGCCCTGGGCGCAGAGCATCTGTCACATGCAGACGTTCACACTGTAGCGACCTATCGGCTGATTCTCCCAAGCAAGGGTGCCAGCACCACTTATAGCATAATGTCAGTATCAGAGCCCAGTGACCAGTCTGACATCACCGTGTTGTTGGTGTGTTTGACAACCATGGGTTTACATAAAGCGTCTGGTATCTGGACCTGCATAGATTTATCTTTAAACCAGGGATTTGAAACACACCACATCTTAGTCATGAATAAACGAGACGGCAACGTCAGCCAGTGGTCTGGCTTCTCCTGGCCAGAAAACTAGAGGCACCTGGAGGAAGAAGCGATCATGTGTGCAGAGATGAAAGCTCACCACCACTATTTGCTCCCCCACTAGTGTCGGGAGGCCGGAGTCGCCTGCATCTCATTGACCTGGGTAGCTGCGAGAAGGTCCTGAGCAAGAGCAGGGATGGAGGTGGTGGCCTGTGCCTGTCACTTAATGCCCTCGGCAACGTCATTCTGGCTCTGGCTAACGGGGCTAAGCACGTCCCTTACAGGTGAGGTGCCAAGGGGCCATCCTTCCTCAGTCCGAAAATAAATGAGTGAGGGATGAGGGGCAGGGCTTGTGCAGATGTACGCACTCTGACAGCTTTACAGCTGCGCAGGCTCTGCTGCCCATGAGTAACCTCTATGGCTTTCTTGCGGGTAAATCACTGTGGCTCATTTTACCTGGTAAAAGTTGGAGGACGAGCTGCGAAATCCGGGAAACACGGGAGAAGCTATCAATAATGGAGAGGAGAACGGGACTGTGGCTCTGGAAGAAGGAAGATGCAGCAGAAGAGGGGGAGATAAGGGGGTAGTGAGAGTTGTGTGGAAGTTTAAGATAGGATCAGCAGAGAAGGAGTGGAGTGGGAATGGAACTGGGAGATCTTACTTGTTACTGCTCTCAGGAAAACTGTGCGTAAATCACTGTGTTTACAGTTTCCCAATTTGGTCCTTGAGAACTCCCAGACGGCCCATGTTTTTGTTCCCTCCAAGGTCTCTGCCAGGTTGTCCACATTTTTTCTCCCTACCGGGAGCTGTGAGAGAGCAAACACATGGACTGTCTGCAAGTCCCTGAAGACCTGATTCGGAAACACTAGTTTAGAGTGTAGAGTTAAGACTCTCCATTCTGCCAGAGGTAAACAGCCGTGTGAAAATATATTAATATGAGCACAGACTAGTATAAGTGAGGCTCTGATTTTACTGTGAAAGCCTGCTTGTCATGTCATGAGAAGTGTGAGCGTGTCCTGGGGAAGCTGGATATTGGCACCAGCGTGAGCTGTCTGGCTTTGATGCGCAGGGACAGCAAGCTGACAATGTTGCTGAGGGAGTCGCTGGGCAACATCAACTGCCGTACCACCATGATCGCACACATCTCCGACTCGCCGGCGCAGTACCCCGAGTCGCTCACCACCCTGCAGCTGGCCTCGCGCATCCACCGCATGCGGAAGAAGAAGGCGAAGGTCAGCCACATTTGCTGCTCATTGGGGCTCATTGCTCTGCTGCAGATGTTTGCCTGCTTCTCTGTCACTGACGGCCCTTTTTGACTCGATAGATAGACTGGATGTGGTGGGGGTGGTGAAATATCCACCAGCACAGGAACCTTTAAGATCTATAAAATTAATCAGCATCTCTGTTAACGAACGGCAGTTATAGCAATGATTCAGAGTTAGTTTTTCTTGTTTATCTACACTGTGTAATCAATATGTGTGCCTTGGGAGGGTGGGTAATGAATGTACTCAGATTAAGGAAATATACTTTCAGAATAACGAGCCAGAAAGACAGCACATATTTATAATGCTGGCTGGGACACAGTCGTAACGCACAGCTTGGTGGTGGTGTTGTAATATTGACCAGTGCTTTTGTGGTTCCCCATTGGTGTGCACTTTTCACCTTTACCATATCGACATGTTAAGACACCATTGATATTTACCCTCAGGTTAACTGTGTCCTGAGTGCAGATTTGTCATTAAATAATTCAGTGATCAGTGACAGGGCTCAGAGTCGTGAATTAAAGCAATTTTGGATGTAACGAGACCCAGTGGTCAAACTAGATGTCTGCTTTGAAAAATGTTTAACTGTACTGTCTCTGTAATGATTTCAGTATGCGTCAAGCTCCTCTGGTGGGGAGAGCTCCTGTGAGGAAGGCAGAATCCGCCGGCCGCCCCACCTGAGACCCTTTCATCCCAGAACAGTTGCATTGGACCCAGACCTACCACTCCTAGTCAGCGACCCGGACTATTCCTCCAGCAGCGAGCAGTCCTGTGATACCGTCATCTATGTGGGACCTGGGGGAGCTGCTCTCTCGGACCGCGAGCTCAGCGACAATGAGGGTCCACCCGCATTTGTGCCTATCATCCCCTCCCTCAATAGGAAGCGTACCAAGGATGGTCCCGTGGACCGGGACCACTTCAAATGCAACACATTTGCAGAGCTTCAGGAGCGTCTGGAGTGTATAGACGGCAGTGAAGAGCCAACTGTTTTCCCTGGGGAAGGCAAGGGCTCTCAGACTGGGTCCAAGTTGGACAATGGAGCTGCTAAAGCTAAAGACAATGCTGCAGTGCCTCCAGGGACTCCTACTAAGGCCTCCTACCAGGAGAACAACTCACTTAGGCAGCCTCCTCAATGTACATCAGATAATCTGACTTGCAGCACTCCATTCAAGTCCACACCAGAACATTCCAAGTGGTCATCATCTGCTTCTGATGGGGGTGTTGTGGAAAGTCTGAGTCGAACAAGTGCAGATGGGGAGAAGGTGCTCACGTCAGATGGACGAGAAGTCACATCCAAGTATGGTAGCACCACGTCTCAGGACTCTGAACCGGTGGTGCGGGAGAAGGTCTATGTCAACAAGAGGCCCCTCCCCAAACCTGCACCTCCTCCTCCCCAACAGAGAGACCCTAGGACACTTTACCCTGAGTCAGAGGGAAGCTCTGCAATGAGGATGCCACCAGTAGGAATGAGTCATCAATCACTGAAGCGAGGGGAGCCTGGGAGCTCCCCGGTCCTTGGAAGAGCCAACCCCATGAGTAGGTCCCCCATGGAGGTGAGCCACCTGCGCTCTACCTTTAGAGGAAGATGCTTCGACAGGGATATCTTGAGGACTACAGTCACCCTGCAGCAGCCTGTGGAGCTCAATGGAGAGGATGAGCTGGTGTTCACTGTGGTGGAAGAGCTATCCATAGGCAGTATCATAGACAATGGGAGGCCCTCAAGCATCATTAGTTTCAACAGTGACTGCTCCCTCCAAGCCTTGGCTTCTGGCTCTCGGCCAGTTAGCATCATCAGCAGCATCAATGATGAGTTTGATGCTTACATGTCCCAGGAAGGTGCATCCGGTATAAACACTGACATAGTGCCAGAGGAAGTGTTTGACTGCCCTGGAAGCAGGTGTTCTTCCATCAGTTCCTGGCTCACCGAAGTGAGTGTGGGTACACTTGAGAGTGAAGGCACCCCTTCTGCAGATAGGTTTTTGCAGCAGCCTAAGCACATTGGTCCAGAGGGTACTTTCTATTTGGATTCCCTTGGCATGTTCCACAAGGAGCCATTTAACCCTCAGGATGTCAAGAGCTCCTTGAATGACAGTGGCTTTTGCTTCTCTGAGATGGACAGTGACAGTGTCACGTCCAGCAAACTCTCACTGAGCATAACAAGGTGTCCTTCATCGCCGGAGTCCATAAAAGTGGCCACAAGAATTTCTAAAGAGACAAAAGCGAATACTCTTAACAGTTCGCAGCCATCGCAGATCCCTCAAGGAGTTCACTCCAGTCTTCCCAAAAAAATTAAACCTACCTCATTTGTTCCCCAGAGCAGCAGTAGTCGTGAACTGCAGAGGCAGGAAGGCAAGCAAGAAGACCCATGGCTACGCATTGATAATCCGTCAGACTCTCGAGCCAGTGACTCCAATTCTGCAGGAAAGTTCTCTAGGAATGGCACAAGCAGCATACCCTCCAGGAAGCCAGATATGAACAGCAACAGTGTACCTCGACCGCCTAAGACACTTGTGTCTACCTCATCCCAAAGGGTGGTGGATGGCTGTGAGAAATCTAGTAGCAAGAAAACAGAGACTCCGAGTAAAATGCCACAACTTCGACGTGGGGCAACCACTCTGGGCACTGTCCCTGTCATCCATAACTCCTCTGATTCCCGGGGGACCCAAGATGTCATGGCTGGAGCTGTTAGTCTGAAGTTTTCTTCGTTGGGGAAAAAGACAAATGGACAGAAAGGTAGTATGCTACCAAAGCCTGGTGGCAGCTCACCTCCTGCTCCACCCGTCCGTAAATCCAGCCTAGATCAGAAAAATCGGATCTTGTTGCCCCCAAGTGCCTTAAAGTCAGCAGGTATCGATGGAGGAAAGTCCCCAGCAGCCAGAGCAGCTTCATCAGAAGACGAGCTGGAGATGCGGCTTAGAAGTAATTCCGGCAGCCACAAAACATCCAGCCTAAAAGTAGACTGCAGCTCAGGCAAAGCAACATCTAGTCTTAAGACAAGAGGAGGCAAAGGGGAAACTGGACAGTGGTATGGGAGTCAGACATCCCTAGAGAGATGTGACAGCTTGAGTTCTGTGGGATCCAAGCCAGGATTATACAGAGAAAATAGTGGGGCAAGTCTGGGCAGTAATGGAAAATCCAGTAGGTCAGTGCCAAGGCTTGGGGCCCCGACTGCTGCCTCCACTCCCACTGCAACTTCTCCTCCTCCTTGTGTCGTGCCAGGGACCCCAGGAAAAGCAGGGCTGTTGAAAGGCAGTGTCAACCCCAAGACTATGGGCGTCAGTGGGAGTAAGACCCGCTCAATATCTACAAGTAGTTCTAAGGCCTTGAGTTCTTCTACCAAATCTCTGGCTGCTCCAGCTGCACGCAACACCGGCCTGCCTCCCACAGGGAAGATGGGGCCTCGTTCTGTCACTGGGGTCAACAGCAAGCCTGGGAGGGGCACCATCATGGGAACAAAGCAAGCCATCCGAGCTGTCAATAGCCGGGTCAGTGAGCTGGCTTCAAGCGGCCCTGGGAAGCACTTCAGGGGCTCGGCAGACTCAGACAGTGGCAATGACAGTGGGGTAAACCTCAGTGATGACAAGCCCACCGCCCTCGCACTGCCCTCCCCGTACAGCAAGATCACTGCTCCGCGGCGGCCGCAGCGGTACAGCAGCGGACATGGAAGCGATAACAGTAGTGTTCTCAGTGGGGAGCTGCCCCCTGCCATGGGTCGCACTGCCCTCTTCTATCACAGCGGGGGCAGCAGTGGGTATGAAAGCATGATCCGGGACAGTGAGGCCACGGGCAGCGCCTCCTCGGCCCACGACTCCATGAGCGAGAGCGGCATGTCCTCTTCCGGCCGTACCAGGGCATCCAAATCCCCCAAGAAGAGGTCGAATGGTGAGGCGTCAATCTATAACTCTTTCTCAAACAGTCTGCTACACTATTCAGCATCAGAGTATTCAGGTCTCCTGAATCAGTCCATGTATTGCCAAAAGGCTATAAATAAAATTATCCTTTGGTACATGGGAAAGCAAAGGATATATCTCACTTTAGCAGCAAAAATAACATATAGACTCTTCAGTGACACCCAGGCATTGCCTATTTAGAGATGTTTAACTGGCACAGACTCCCTCGTTTCACAATTGAGTAATGTCTATAAATAACCACTAGCTGCTATGTAGGCAAAATGCATGTGTATGAATCTCCCGTCATGGTGTTAATGGTTTGCTTGCAGTTTTTATATTCCATTAGTCACAAGTATGCATCTCTAAGCTTGAGATTTGTGCTGCAGCACAGTCGGATTGTTAGGAAGTTGAATGATTTGAGGATCCCACTCTTTGTCATCATAGGTAATAACTTCAAGAAATGAGAGCAAGGTGTATACTTTAATGTATAAATCTGTAATGCTGTGAACATGAAACAACAATTGAGTCCTGGTCCTTCTAGCCTGAGAACATTATCTTGCATTCAGATACCCATGCAACGTGCAATTTAAGATATATTCCATGCACAGAATAGAACTATATTGAATTCCCCTCCTGTTGAATCTCATCAGGCGATCCTATTCACTCTCAGATTTATGTTGTCGACCTGTGTAATTCATATCTGTTGTAGGTGCAATAGATAGCACCATACACTATATGCATGCAATCAATACCACCCGCGGGTTCAAGCCTAGTATCGCTTCAGATCTTTGGCCTCATACATATTTATTAATATTGCTGCATACTGCTGGATAAGCCTGATGTATATTTCTCTGATCTGACTTCGATCGCTGACTGTTTTATTTATTTTTTTATTTGTTGTGCCTCCAGGTCTCCAGAGGAGACGTTTGATCCCTGCCCCCCTCCCGGACAGCTCTTCACTGGGGTGGAAGCCCAGCACCACTGGGCAGTGGGTGGACCTGCCCCCGCTGCTGCCCGGCACTCTGAAGGAGCCCTTCGAGATCAAGGTGTATGAGATCGATGACGTGGAACGGCTACAGAGGCGGCGGATGGAGGATGTGGCCGAGGTGAGCTGCTGCTAAGGGGGAATGTGGCTCTGTCATCAAATCTGTCTTGAGTTGAGTTTGACTGTTTTGGGTGGAGCCATGGAATTATTTTGTCAGTTAAACTTGCTTAAGGTTCAGGAAAATGTGTTTTGTTCCTGGCTGCTTTCTTGATAGTCCAAATACAGGACAGGCACAGAGCAGGCTGTCTTGGGTAGGCTGGTTCTTTATTAATGAACGTCTGTTTTGACTGCCTGACCTTCTTCCATCCACTTGGCAGCAAATGACTGTGTTTAAGTGCCTGTGACGGCTTGCTGGGTGTTTTTTTGTCATGTGGGTCTCTGTTGAAACGTGGAGTGGGGCGGGGGTATCGCACAAGCAATTACTGCCTGGGGTTAATTGGTTTAGGTATGAGTGATCCGCGGGATGGCCCTCGGAAGGGGGTATGAGGCAAAGCCCTGGTGTAACTGAGGAGCATGTGATGGATGAAGGTCTCCATCCGCGGATGCTTGATCACTCTTTATGGCGGTCCTCGCTTCCATGGGTCATTAACCATCCCTACAAGCTGGAGTCAGCCCAGTGGAGAGTTGTTGAAGGGAGATATTAAATCAGCTGGATGGTCGTTTGATTTAGTTTCAATTAGGAAAAGATGATCTTCAATTCGTCTTTGAAAGTAACGATGGCTGAATCACACATAATGGAATGCCTTGTCCCAGAGCCGATAGCATTGCTACTAACTCAACCCTACCATGCCGGTGTGTGTGCGGGTATGTGTGCTTGTTAGGTATGTGGCCTTTCATCCATTTAATCACACTGCCCTCTCTGTTCTCTTTCCTTTCTCTAGCAACCTTTTCAGGATGTCGAAAAGGTATGTCGATGGGGCAGGATGGGCGTGTCTAAATTGTGAGCTGAATTTAGGACTTTGGCCAGGGAGGGTTTTATCAAAAGGGGGTATCGTTCGTTCATTGCGCAAGACCAGAGGACCTAGAATTATTACAATGTACGTTACAAGCGGAAACAAGTCCTCTTACACGACAATACCTGGAAAACACTGCGACTGAAATTATAGGGTGTAATTGTATATCCTGCAATTCTTCTGTGGTAACAAGGACAGGAGCAAAAAATCATCTGTCATTATTGCTCGTTAGGAGCCTGTCTCACATGTATACATATGTATATGTTTATATATTGGGATGCTAGTTTCAGATCCAGTATCCCTTGGAATTCACCTAGTGCAGTGTAGTCCCCAGGGACCCACAGTCATCCATATTTTAGCTCCCTCTGAGCTCCCTAACAGACAGTCCACGTTTTTGCTCCCTACTGGGAGGGAGCAAAAACATGGACTGTCTGTGAGTCCCTGAGCACAGAATTGGGAATCACTGAGCTAGTGTGAAAGAAGCCATCAGTAGTATTGGGATTGTGGCTCCCCTGTGTGTGGTGGCTCACTGCCCCCCCCCCCCACCCCGGCAGGGCCTGCTCTATTTCAACACCAGGCTGAAGCTACTGGAGAGGCGGCAGCAGCAGATCCGGGAGCTGAAGGCCAAGCATGAGATGCTGAAGGTGGAGCTTGAGGACACCAAGCACAGGCTGATGATGGACCCCAACAAGTGGACAGGAGAATGTGAGTACTGGCAGAGCGACCATCACACACTGCTGCTAAACTATGGTCCTACTTCCCTCTGGAGAAATACTAAACATTCTCTATATGGGCTAAATGTCCAGTGGTAGGTCATCCTCAATGAAAATTAAAGACTGTGAGCATCACCCTATCTATCAGACTTGTTGGTTCCCATTTCATTTTCCTACTGCTTGTGAAGCATAGGCAGTGCCGGGGAAGTTACACTAAATTAGTTGGTTGAAACAAAACCTTGGTCTGGATTTGTACTTTCTGGGCCTGAACTGTCTGTAATGGATTACTTTTGTGAGTAATTTCCTCAACACTGAGCATAGGTAGCTGTTACCCTATATCTAATAAAGACAAGACCACTTTTATTAACACCCAAAGCTGCAGACAGACTACATTAACCCTGCTCACTGTTTAATCATCATTGGAGCCCGTGCACCGTGCAGGATATGAGCTCCTGAGCTTCTGCATGCATGTTATTGGGTTGCAACCTGTTCATAGCCCAGCTTTCATTGCCACTGTCCATTTGAAAGTCGGTGGTGTAACAGAAAATTATAGAGTCCACCCTTGAGTGAAAAAAACCACAATTGCATATAGTTGTGTGCTGCTAAATGGAGAAAATGGGTGAACAAAAAGGCTTTTAGCTGTTATTTACAGCAGTATGGTAAAGTTGCTCCGGGGTAATTTATCTTGATCTATGATTCTCAGATGCTGGAAATATGTCCGTTAATATCTGCTAATTTTTGAAGCAGTTTCTTGATCTCGCTTCAGGCAAAGAAAGTAAAAATTAGATATTAATGTTTCTACATTCAACACAATTAGAGGAAAATCAGCCTCTCCCTTTCAAACTGAGAGACCTTTTAAAGGTTTCTCTTGCATAAGCAACACCTTTCTCTGCACCACAGAGGAAGGAAATATATAAGGTCTGTAAAGGTCACAAAGCAAGGCTATTAATTTTTTTTTTTTTGCCAAATTCATGCAGTGCTGTCTTTAAGCTCCGCCTGAGCATGAACATGACAGCATTTCATGCGGCTGAAAGCCGCAGCTTTCACTGTGTCTTGAAATCAATAAAGTGCAATTGGCTTACTGCTATTTCAGGGCTGTGCTGCTCCTTTCAGACCCCCCCCGACTCTCTGCGGGTGGGGTTTTTAAAAGGCTCCCCCTGTCCCTGTCTAGCCAGAGCAGTCGTCAGTACCCCTTGTACAGGAGGAACACACACTTACATTTAAAAAATCTAATTTTGTCACGTGTATGAATGGAAGGCTTACGCTTTGAAAGGGTCCTCAGTGCTGGCTATTTAAGTGGAGGTGGAATCTCCTGGCCTAAAACTAACAGATGATGTTATCCTGGTCTTTCAGCTAATATGTTGCATATTTTGCTGTCTCTCTGCCCTCCTGCAGTTGAGGTGGACCAGGATTTAGACAAGGAGTCGCAGGAGTACCTGGAAGCCCTGGAGCAGACGACTGACGAGCTGGAGTACTATGTCAACCTATGCAAGTCACGCATCATGATGGTGACCTGCTTCGACATCGGGGTGACGACCGACACGCAAGAAGGATTACGAGAAGTGGAGGTGTGAGAAGGGAGGTGCACGTTGGGGAGGGGTGGGGGGGCGGGGGTGACAGAACCTGGGAAGTCGACATGGAAGGACGGCGAAGAGTAGCGGCAAGTTGGGCGAGACGCTGAGAGCGAGGCGGCAAGTACACGACCCACAAAACTGGAGATGTGGGAGTTCAGAGAGGAGCAGCGGCACGAAACAAACCCTCTGTGAATCTCACAGCATCGGACAAATAGGAGGAAAGCAAGACTTTAGCTCTGGCAGAAAGGCTTTCACTCAGCTGCGGTGAGGAAGATGGGAGCGCCGTTTTTTTACCCAAGCCAAAAAGTGCCTTTTTTTACAGACTGATTTCCAGTGAATATTTTTTGTATGGTGCTAGTAAAAAAAAAAGAAAGCCAGCATACCTAAGCAAAACCCGAAGCATATTCCTTTTAAGAAAAAGAAACATATTTTATATTGCATTGTACAGTGTATTTATATCATCATACAGTATGTAAAATATCATTTTAGGTAAAAAAAAAATGAAATGAGAAAAAAGATGAGCAATAAGGTAATGTTATTGCATCCTAGACTTTGCCTTTCTCATGTTAAAACCTCAATCAGCCTGTGCCCTGGTCATGTAGCCTACGGACCTTAGGGATTATTTCGTTTTGGTTTTTTGTTGTTGTTTTGTTACGGTATTTTGTTGTGGAGGACTCACTGTTACGCTGCACCTCCTTCGGCCCGGTGGGGGCTGATTAACTGAACTGTTCCACCTCCCTCCAGTTGCGTTGACCACGAGAACCCCTGCAGGCCCACAGACCACCAGTGGCCAGTTCAGTGAGAGAGTGGAGGTCCTTCAGTGAGTTAGGGGTGATCCGGTGAAATGGCGACTTGGCCGCTCAGTCACCTGCCGGAAGGAGCCGCTTATGCCAGAAACTGAAGTTACCATGAGAAATTTACCCCGCGTGCATGTTTGTCTGCAGCGGTTAAGCGGACATTGGCGGCCAGGGCTTCTCGCGGTGCTGATGTTAAACGGGCGGGTTATGGTATGGAGGTGTTCTATGCATACCGCCACTCTCGCCACAGGAGCTCCACACTCCGTGTATGGAGCTCAAAGGTGCCCACAGTCCTAATGTCTGCTGCAGCCTTGTAGTCTTGCTCTAAGCCAGGGGTTTGAGTACTACACTCATTTGATTCCGTTTCCGTTCCACTTGTCACAAATGCTGGGTTCTCGTAGACACTGCTCAAGTAAGTAAACCGGTTCCGGATAAGTTCTGTCAATGGTTTCAGCCACGAAAATGCCCTATGATGCTGGTGCCACGGACTGGGAGAACAAACCGCACTTCGGCCCAATGTAGCTGCCAGTGTGAGTCTCTGTTCAGTCCTCTGCTTCAGCCATTGAAGCCCCTTTTGGGTTTCCAGGGGCAGAAACAAACAAGCTCTGGCTCATTTAATCGTTTTGGGTTTACGACTCTGAGCCCTCTGTTGTTTCATTTTTAAAAATATATTCTCAGGCCCTTTTCTGAAGATGCTGCATGATATTTTTATTCATTGTTTTGTATTATCCATATTTTGCCTTTACTGTTATTTTGTAATAAATCCCTGAGTAGAATGCACAGTTAGTTACAAGAACTGACTATTGCCAAACAGAAACATTTTTATGAAAGGTAATGACAGTATATGTATGGTTACATTTCATATCAAAACCTATTTTCTAATGTCTCTGGTTTTGTACAGGGATTCCGGATACTGTGTATAGATGTATAGTATGCCAGCCTGCGTTGACTTTTACTTGTGAATAAAAGATGTCCCTTCTTAATTCTTTGTTCTGCTGCAGTTTTGTTTGCATCATCCTAAATTAATTTAATTCTCTCAGCACTACACAGGTCTGTAGCTCTATTGCATAATAGATCATGGATCTATTATCATTGCCCCGTCGCTGACTTCCAGAGATGTGGATAATGAACTAGAGCATGAAGAGAGGTGATGTGGGTAGTCATTCTTAAAAGAACAGCTTCCCATGACCTGAACTGTATCAGAAAATGCCTGGTATAAAACACTGTATGGAATTAGCATGATTTTGTAAGCACTCATTTCACCATACTTGAGGTAGACTGCTGAGCTTGTAAACAGTGCATTATGTCCACTGCCTTTATGACATGACGGATCGGTTAAGGAACCTCCCACAAGACATTTGTCTTAAGCCCAAAGGCCATCCTTCATAATGTTTGCAGAAGACGCTAGACGGCAGGGCTGACATGGGCCAGACAGCACTTTCCCTCCGAGATGAGGTGTGGGGTGAAGTGGGGGCCCGAGAGGCGAGCCTGGTCTGATTGGGTCTGGCCTGGCAGCAGGTGGCTCTGCTACTGTGATCCTGCCAGCATGGCGATCTGTTGCGAAACAGGATAGGATTCCAAGTTCTTACTTGGAAGACTCAATGGAAAAAACCATATTGGGTGGGCAGGCAAGGAAGGGAGAATCAGTGTAATCAACTATTGACCAGACACCTGATACCTCCTTGATGCTGTGTCAATGCAACTTTCCTAGATGCTCCTTCTTTGTGAAGAGCAGCCATTTAATCACATCGCGGATAATGGTATTAGTGGTTGAAAATCCATTCATCAGTCTTCCACAAGTAGAGCAGAATAGAGATCACCCCTTACTGTAATCAGAAAACAATCCTTGATGATGATGCCACTGATGTCTTTGATAAGACCATCAGAAGATGCCAGCTATAAGAGCAGCTACCCTTCCCATTATATCCCTTAGTCTGGGTTTAAGCTACACTAGTCCTAGCAAAATCCTCTTTGAATTTTGGCTTCAGGCTCCCTCTCTGATTTCACAACAGCTTAATTCTGTTCGAGATATAATTGTAGTCTTCAGCAATGCATGAGGATTTTCGCCAGATATTAATAGTATGATGGAAGGCTTTACCAATACACTCCCTTGGCATGTTTAGACTCGGGCATGGCTCGCTGGGTCCAGTTTAATGTTCTGGTAAATAGCACATAATAAATCAGGGGCAACTGTTAATTGTTGCTTGTCAGAGGGGATTGTTCATCTCTGCCGCTTTGGCTCGATTACTTTTGATACTCTTGTTTTACATGTATTTGATTTTGGTGCAGTAATTATCTGCTTTTTCTGTGTGTTTTTTTACTTCCTTAGGGAGAGATTATAGTTTTTGATGTTTCTCTGTTTCTCTTTCATAGGTATATCTTCATTTAGCAACTAAGTCCCTCAGTGAAAAGTTGAATGAACAGCTACTACCCCTTCGACTCATGCTTAAAACTAAACATTCACAGGCACATCTCTGGCCAGCTTTGTGTCTGAATGAATCATTTGAATGAATCATTTAATGCAGTGGACTGGGGACAAAACAGTGTCCTTGTTGTTTTCGTCTCCTTTCTTTAGAAGAGATGAATGGTCTTCTGGATGGCCATGTCCCATAATGCATTCCTCCTTGGAATTCCGACTTATTAAAAAAGAAAGATTATTTGGCTGCCTTAGGAGCGCAGCTGGGCATTACATCTCTAATCAAATCTGCAGACACATTGCTTGTCTTCTAATAAAAAAGCAGGCAACGTCCTATTCACTGTCTAATGGCTCTCATTGAAGTTTAATCCTAGTTTTTATCGGGAGCTACAGATAGCACATTTTAATTTCCTTTCCCCAAAAAGGGGACAAGGATGACAACATGTTGTGGCAGATAACTCAATGAACTCAATTCAGTGATGTCTGCACACTAGGAGACAACACATACCTATTATATACAACACTTGGTGCAATATTGAGACTAAATAACATCTCTCTTCTGGAGTCACCATATTCTGATAGGGTTAGCCACATCCATTCATTCACCATAGAAACCTGGTTGTTCCTGTAGCCTTGAAGGACATATAAGGATAAGGTTCTTATAATAACCGGCGGGTGAGGTAATCCAACTGGGCAGCTTGGACCACACACTGCATGGTGTGCTAAGTCTATGTCTAAGGGTCAAACTAAATCAGTTCCCTTGTTCCCGTCAGGAATGTTAACAGCATTTAGTTGCCTTGATCTGCAAGGCCGGATTTTCCCATTGTGGTCAGGCAATGGGCAGGACGCCCGTGCAATTTATCCACAGAAGAGAGGAAGGCATGATGCCCAGCGGTGGCAAGCTGAGGGCCTCACTAATCCCATTGCCTGCTGGCTCCGGCAGTGCTGGCTGCAATCAAGATGAAATCTTAAAAGCAGTTGAGTGCCTATTATTTATCTGCAAAGTGGCACTGACGTGCCGACGTGTGGCACGCCGTGATTGGCCGAAGCATGCATGTGGGCACTCGTCCTCGGGCACGTGCCACCCACAATCTGGGAGGGGGGCGGGGGGGAGAAGGGGCATCATTAAAACCACAAGGGACAAGCCCCATAGAAATACCATGCTGACATTTTAGTCCTGTGATCAGCCATGCGAGCCTATACAATCTGTGTGGACTGCTGACATGCTTAATATAGCATTCATAGTTTCTATAAACAAAATATGAATTAGGCATATAGAAAGCAGTAGTTTGAACAGAAGGGTTATATACAAATTTAATAATATGTGGATGAAAAACAGGCTGGCATTGGCATTAAAATATTTTCTTTTCACTGTTTACATGCAAGGCCACTGAACTGAAAACCTCAGGTAATAAAGGCAGGGTTTTGAAGCTGTCTGCCAGCATTCATGCCCCAAATTCTCTTTTAGAAGCTAAGTTTGATTCCTAGCAGAGCTGCTTTGTGTTCCAGTCACGCCTTAGGTATCGCTGTCCCCTCAATTTCACTCAATTGCTTATACATTCTCGTACAACAAACCGTGTAAAATCACAGCGATAATGGCAACTTTCGGTCCAATCTGCATTGTTTGCGATGAATGCCTGGCATATTTTTGAATGCAACTAGCGATGCTAACACTGAATTCACCCCCGGGGGCAGCAGTCAGCCTCTGACCGGCCTGACTGAGGCAGCCTATGTGGGAGGACACCACTTTCCCGCAACCAGAGACCACACCTTCCCACATTGAAGACACATCTATCACGTCTTCAAACCTGC